GGGCCTTTCCAATTAATGATATTTCGAGCTTCGCAGCGCATCCCTCTAAAGTACCTGTCCCAACCTTTCCGTGGGACGCAGTGGAAGCGCACCTGCGGGAGATCACAGGACCAGATACATGGATTTGCGCAAGATGCATTGTGAATTAGGGCCCTAGTTGCTCTAGCCGGCTGCCTTCTCAGTGTCAGTGGTGCTTGAAGCGGTTTTCTCAGCACCTTCTCCTTGTGCACCAGAATGCTCCTCAGCCAGTTCAGCCCCTCCCACGACCCCTTCGGCTTCTTCGGCTTTGGTGGTCCCTTCGATCTTTTTTGGTTCCTGCGGAGCCAGAGGGCTTCAGTGGGCACAAAATCATGAAAATTGTAAGAAGAACTTTGCCCTGCCTTGTGTCTGTTTCCCACCGAGCGGTCAGGTACTACTGCTGCTAGATGAAGCCCGAACAGTCTGCGTGCCTGACCGTGGGCCTGTCAGCAGTCAGCAGAGTCGCCAAAAAGCTTCACGTACGGAAGCGGCTCGGCCAGCTAGCCGGTGACCATGCCGTGCCCAGTGCCAGCACGACTCAAAATGATGTGAAAGACACGCCATTGAGACAACTCCTTTTCACATGGTATGGTGCGTGAACATATACGCTTAGAAAGTGCAGCTCGGCCTCTGTTACTTGAAGCCCAAGTGGTGGGCGAAGCACTACCCACTCCTGCGGTCAAAGAAAACAATGCCTAGGAGAGATTCTGGGCCATTGGTTTCACCTAATAGGTCCCCTAGGGTCTAGTATGGATAAATAAAAGCAGCTCTCCATACACTGCTTGGCAAAACTCCGTCTGAAGTAAGCCAGGCAACAGGTCGCTGCTTCCACACTGCTTGGTTTTGGAAAGCCTCTTCCATCTGCGACTGATATTTGAAAATCACATCGTTTTCCTGTGCTGCAATCCAACTGTGTCTCTTGAAAGGCTAAACTCCAATGCTACGGCCGCTACGGTCCGTAAGAGTCAGAACAAAAATCACAACACCGTCCTGGTTGTACTGAATTTTGCGCCATGAAGTCCGATCCTGAACTGTTTCCGCTGTGATGAAGCACGTGACGGGCATTCGCAGATTTCGCAGAGATCGTTGGCCAAGGATAACTCTCCAGAAGAGCTCAATGTTGTAAGTCTTTTGACGGTTGGGGAGCGAACTTGATACCTTGCCATGGAGGCGGAGGCAAATTCTGTCAGCAGCTACTGCCGCGTTGTTGCATCGCAGTGTCACTGTATTGCTGATTAATGCCAGCAAGGAGCAACTGTATCAAATGGTGCGCACAGGTAACTCTCCGCCGCTTGTCTTCCCATAATCGCAAGATTGTAGTTGACACCTCTTGTGCGGTGGTGATGTGCTAAATCAAGTCTGACTGCTCGACCCACTGTCAACGTCTAGAACTCCAATTTCGCACTGACATGCAAATATGTGCTGCATACAATATAAAATGCAGTTGTATGTCTGTCTGTCGGTCAGTGCACATCTTTTCTCTACAAGCACCGTGGTCTCTCAACACTTTCTACGCATGTGCGAGTTGCCAGAGCATAGCCGGAGGTTGGTCTGTGCATGTGGTTTATTTGTGTGCTTTTGCGTTTATTCGTCTATCATAATCTATCTATCTAACGTTGTCTGCCTGCTGTTTATGCGTCTATCTGTTATTTGGATCATTTGCTTATCTATTGGGCATTCTTGTTTACGGCATGTGTATCTGTAAGTACTGATGTATATATATATATATATGTGTGTGTGTGTGTGATTATCGAATTATATAATTATATAGTAAAATAATCACATATATTGTAAATATAACTAAATGTATTATATTGAGTTAATTATGTTATATTATATAAGGATATAAAAGGTTTCATATATATATATATACATACACATACATAATATATATATATGATTATATATGTAGATATGCATGTGTATGTGCATGTGCATGTGCGTGTGTAATGTGTATGTGTATGTGCATGCGTATACTTGTGTGTGTACGAGTGTCCGCGGATGTCTCTGCGTCTGCGTAAGCCTACACACCCTTTGCTTACACAAATGCACAGCGTGTGGGCCATGCCTACACGTCCTTGGTCCTTGTCTGTGTGTGCGTACGGGAGTTGCACCATCTCAAATGCTGGACAGGTCTTGCTCCATGTCAACAGTGCAACTGATTTTCTTGCCTCCAAATTCATGGCCGGCTTGCGTTAGAATATCACCACGGCCGATACATCGCAAGAGGCTCTCAGCAGGAGGAAGTGGAAGCAAGTGCAGGAGATCCGATCTTGAGAACCTCGGGAAAGCTGCCAGGTCTTCAAGATTCCAGGAGGGCCAAATGAGGGCCAAAGCAAGGCTATTCAAGGGACAAAGGAGGGCCAAAACGAAGGCCAAAAGGAGGGCCAACGGCCGAAGAGTAACTGGTCTTTAGCCAAGCAGTCAACTCTGTCGACTCAGTCGAATCTGAAGGTCATAGCATGATGAGCTGCAACAGGTCAACTCAGCTCAAGACACGAACAGATCATACTTCTCCAGCAGGTTGTTAGACTTGATTTTCTCAAAGAGAATTTTGTGGTTGATAAGGACTTGTGCATTGCCTGCGTTCAGCCAGTTGCCTCGCACTTGAGACATGTTCTCCTTGGAGCACGACACAGTCAACTTGAGAGGGGAGTACGAAAGGTAGAGGGCGTGTCATCAGTAACGGAAGAACTTGTTCCAGGAAACATGTTGAGATGGGGTAAATTCAAGAAGGAGGGAATCTGGGTTGGAAAAATACGCTGCATGGTTTCAATCGGAAGGTACGTAAAAATAAGTTCGAAGAGTCGAAAAGTTGAAAAGTGGAAAGGCTTCATTGTCAATTTCGAAAAATCGAAAGGTCAAAAAGTGGAAGGGTCTCATTTTCAATTTCGAAAAGTCGAAACGTCGTAAAGTTGAAAAGTAAAAAGGTTTTGTTTTGAATTTCGAAAAATCGAAAAGTCGAAAAGTCGAAAAGTATATACAGGGCGCCCGCAGCTTGGGTATGACTTTTGGCGCTGATGCTGACGATGCGTTGCGACCACAGATTGGCGATGACCCCCGGCCCCCTGATGACGCATTGTGACGACACATTCCCTGCCGACGCATTACCCCCTGACGACGCACTGTGACAACACAGTCCCTGACGACGCATTGCCCCTGACGACTCTATATACCCCCTGACGACGCATTGTGACGACACATTCCCTGACAACGCATTACCCCCTCACGGACGACGCGTTGTGACGACACATTCCCTGACGACGCATTCCCTGACGACGCATTGCCCCCTGACGCGACGCGTTGCCCCCTGACGACGCATTGTGACGACGCATTCCCTGCCGACGCATTCCCTGCCGACGCATTCCCTGCCGACGCATTGCCCCCTGACGACGCATTACCCGCTGACGACGCACTGTGACGACACATTTCCTGACGACGCATTGCCCCCTGACGACGCATTACCCCCGGACGACGCATTGTGACGACACATTCCCTGACGGCGAACGACACATTCCCTCACGACACATTCCCTCACGACGCATTGCCCCCTGACGACGCATTAGTGAATTTCGAAAAGTCAAAAAGTCAAAAAATCGAAAAGTCGAAAAGTTCAAAAGTGGAAATGCCTCATATCGAATTTCGAAAAGTCGAAAAGTCCCTTCTTTCATTTTCCGAAGCATCGAATATGTCAAATCATGTGTTTTTCTTTAGGGAAACCAGGATCCCCCAAAGACACGGCGACGTGAGCGCAGCAAAATAAGCGAGGCTTTGCAGCTTCCATTTTCGGCAGCATCGAGTAGTTTAAATCATATGTGTTTTCCTTTACTTGCATTAGTGGAAATAAGCATCTTATTTCCCTTCTTTTATTTCCTGAAGCATCCAGTAGTAGACATAGTACGTGCTGTTCTTGAAAATTCCATGTGGGGGATAAGCATCGTATTTTCCTTCTTCTATTTCCCGAAACATCCGGTATTGCAAATACGTTTTTCTCCTTACATGAGCGGAAATATGGATCTTACTGTCCTTCTTTCCCGAAGCATGGAATAGTTCCAGTTCAACTAATGATTCTGTGTCTTTTCTTTACGTATATTAAGGGAAATAAGGGTTTCATTTCCCTTCTTTCCCGTAACATGGAGTAGTTCAAACTATGTTTCCCCAACTGAAAACCAAACAGCAACCGTCCTGGAACCTTACCACCTGGAACCAACCACGGCCACCCTGTTTCAACCAACCGCAACAGAAAGGGATTTCCTAACTTGACCACCGGTTTCTGCTGACCGGCCGCCGCTGAACCTTTTCGCAGTTGATCATCAAAGGGCTTCGGACGGCCTTCGAATGTCGATTGATCCGCTTCAGGATCCTTGCAATGGCATCTGCGAATTGGAAAAAGATCAAAAGGGGTTTTAATGGAATGCATGTAGTAGTTGTCACACGCACTCCCCCCATGTGGCACCGCCTGCCAGCCACATGTTCTATGACTCAAGCCCTCTACGTGTACATGTCTGCATCGCTACAGCAAATGGCACATGGAGTGATTCTTCTAAGGGGCCTGTTGGAACCATAGTCCCTGCAATGTTCGTATGAAACATGCAACTCATATCCATGTCCAATTGCATACAATTCCCACCGTGGGATCTCTGATTGGGGACCACAACGTGGGCATCGTGGGGTCACCGCTACCTGGCTTGCGTTCCTAAGCCCATGACAATTCCTATCTACATGGTACTTCCCCCCAAAAGGGGTGGTGTACAAGGTTCTAAGACTGTTCTGAGCTGAAGGTCGTCTTGACCTCACATTGCGACTCGGCTCATTCGACCCGCCGCCAGCGGCAGCTGCGCTTCTGGAGCTTGAAGAGGCACCAGCCGTGCCGCCGCTCGAGCCAGCAGCTCTTGAAGCGCCCGATGTAGCACCAGCCGTGCTTTGATTGGGGTCGGCAGCTCGCGCCCCTGCAAGGCAGCACCAGCCGTGCTAACGCCTGAGGCAGCACCAGCCGTGCTAACGCCTGAATCAGCACCAGCCGTGCTATGATTGGGGTCGGCAGCTCGCGAAGCGCGCAAGGCAGCACCAGCCGTGCTATCGCCTGAAGCAGCACCAGCCGTGCTAACGCCTGAAGCGGCACCAGCCGTGCTAACGCCTGAAGCAGCACCAGCCGTGCTAACGCCTGAAGCAGCACCAGCCGTGCTAACGCCTGAAGCAGCACCAGCCGTGCTAACGCCTGAAGCATAGGATGCTTCAGCAGCCGACAAACCCGATTTTCTCCTGGCAGACGCTACATGGTCATCACTTCCTGTATTGATCCTTTGAAGTTGACAACAGTCACCTTGTCAACTTGGTTCCAAAACAAGATGCTCATAGTGCAGACTCCGACCAAAACTCCAATGCAAAAGATCACAGCCACAAACACAATAAGAGATGGAAAACCTTTTCTGTCGCTGGCATTCGGCAAAATCGGTTGCGAATCACTCACAATCAAAGCAGTGGAAATTTCCTCGCCCTTCGGAAGAGCAAGTTTCGTCATCAAAATGATAGCTTTCAATGCATTCTCCTTGGCCTTCTGTGAAATCCCTGCTTGATGTGATACCTTTGGATGATTCTCCTCTACTGCTCCCAGCATTCCAACAAACATTCCCATTGCCTCCTTGTGTTGGTTAAACTTCTGCACTGACAAAACTTTGGTTCCCAAATCTGCTGGCATCTCTGCTCCTGGAACATGTCTCAAAAGACATTCACCTGACAGCACCTTGGACCGCAAAATGTCTGCCCTTTTCCGAAGATGCCTCGTTCTCCATGACCCAGATTCCCCCGCAATGATGGACACCGCTGCTGATGAATCAGTGAAAGAAAAAGCTCGAGCCACCACATCCAGCGCCTCTTCCAAAACCACCTTCACTGCATCTCCAGCCAACGATCCCTCCAAGACCTCCACCAGCTCTGACTCCGCTGTTGAAGCCGCCTTCCGCTGTTGAAGCTGCCTGAATAGGCTGCTTACCAGCCTTCCAAAGCAACAAGGATGAGCCCCAAAGAACCAAATGGCACCCAAATGACACATCACTGTAGGAGGCATCCGTGAAGACATTCAACTGTCGTTCGCCCTCCTCATTCTTGAACACCAGACCATGTGACCAGGTCGCAGCTAAATAATGCCAAACCGACTTCACCAAAGAAACCACCTGCAATGGGGACTTTGTGATCATAGAGGCCAACTTGGAGACAAAAAAAGCTAGGTCTGGACGTGTTCTTGCAGTGATCCAAACCAGCTCTCCTACCACCTTCTGTGCCTCCTTGACATTCGCTGCCGTCTTTTCTTCTGGATTGTCAACAACCTCCGGTTCCTTGGCAAGTGGAATTCTCCTGGTGCTCCAAGAAGACATTTCTCCTCCAAGATTTCGCTTGAGAAGATCCTTGATGTAGTTGGCCTGTGTCATAAGCCAAGTGCCATCCTCCTTCCTCCACAGCTCTGTTCCCAAAAACCTCACCTCATTGGTGATGCCGATGCACTCAGGTTCTGATGTTTCCCACTTCTGCCTCACCGCCAAGATCATGGCCTTCATGGCCTCAGACGTACCCAGGACAAGCAGATCGTCCACGTACACAAGGACCAACCCCACAAACTCTTCGGCTTGCGTTGTTCCAAAAGGTCCTGGCTGTCTGAGCATCATCCTCCACATATTGGGTTCTGTGATCATCTGTTGTAGTGTCAAGGCACCTCCTTGACAATCGATCTCCATGTTGGACATCTCCACATCGCGATAGTCAGACCACAAGCGAGGGCTTTCACGGTATCCATAGAGCGCCATAATCGCTTCATAGTACTCCCCATGCTTCGCCAAGCCAGCCGCCACCAAAAGAGCTGGTGGCTTGATGAAAGCCCTCTTCGGTGACTGACCTTCCTGACTGTTCAAAACCATGGGGGCATTGAGAAAGGCTGTGCGCACATCCATGACTGATCCAAGAAATCCCATCTGAGCTGCAATGGTCAAAGCTGCTCTGAGTGCCACAGCTGTGGCTCCACCAGCAAACAGGTCTTGTGACTCTTCGCGATCTGAGTAGTTGCCACAGGCGACCAGCCTAGTCTTTTTCTTTCCAGCCTTCTGCGACTGGTCAGGCTTCACAGTAAAAACCAATTTGCTAGGAATGACCTCCGCCAAATCTTCCGCCACCAGCTTGTTGACCTCTGACTCGCTGACTCTTCTGAGAGCTCCCTTTGTCTCAAACAACGAAGTGAGTTCCTTCTCAATTGATGGTCGCCATTCTTCCATCGACCTTCTCACCTCCGCCTGCAAGACAATCCGGGTTTGGAGAATCTCTTCGCCTTTGTCGGGGCCCAACAGCTGTTTCAAGCTTCCAATGGAGTCAAGGACCATTCCTGCCACTTGCTGATCATCTTCCATGGCTTCAACCATCTCCTCCTCAATCAGACGCCTCACTCTTTCTTGTCGTCTGATCTGAGAGGTTTCCTGCTCCACTGCTGTTGTATTTTCAACATCCACCTTCATGCCCTCTGTGCCCAAATCGCCCTCCTCTTCTTCCGCCTCCATTTTGTAGACTGATGCCTTGTGACGCAACCTCCTTCTCTCCTGATGGGGTTCAACGCATCCTCAACTCCAATCCAATTGTCAAGAGTGGGAGGTTCGGACGGCCCATGCATGACCATCTTTGTGAGGGTTTGAGTGCCATCTGGTCTTTCAACCCAGTGGCCATGATGAACCCATGACGGGCACAAATAAAGAACTCGTTCTTGTGTTGGCTCCAACTCCTTCATTCTCCAAAATCTTTTCCTCACCAAGACCTCAGACAAAAACGGTGGTGTCTTCTGTTCCTTTCCAACCTGTTTCTGACGCAGCTTCTCGTTGATGAACCTGGCTGCCAAGGGCCAGCGCTCAAAAGGAGCACCTGCGCCATGCAACGTTCTCCTTATGGCAGCCTTCAGGTGTTTCACTGTGACCTCACACCTTCCATTCATTTGGGGCTGATCTCCAGGTGTATAGGTGTGAAGAATGGTGCGGGACTGGCACCAGCTTTCCAGCGCCTTCGATTTGAACTCAGCGCCCAAATCACTGTGCAACTGGGTCACTACATACCCGTCGGCCCTCAACCTCATGTACATGTTGGTGATGGCCTTGGTGATCTCCTCCTTTGATCTCGAGGAAATTGGCTCACACATCTTTGTGACTTCGATCTTGATGTCTTGCCTCTCCTCCTCTCTCAACTCCTCTTCCTTCTGATCTTTGCCTTCCTCTGGCTCCTTCCTTTCTTCTTGTTGATGAACCTCTTGCTCAGGCGGTTCATCCTCTAGAACCGGAATGTTCTCGGCACCTTGATCTTCAATCTCTGGGGCACCATCAGGGACGTTGAAGTCCTCATCCTTTTCCTCCTGCACATAGTTGCTTCGCGCAGGCCAGGTAAAACATGCTACCAGCAGGTATTTGGCATGCCTTTTGTTTAAATCTGGAGCCTGACGAAAGGGACCTGTGATGTCCACACTGAGGATGCCGGCTTTGGGTGGTAAATGTTGGCGACGGTGCTTGGCGTCTTGTGCACTTGCTTCTTGACAAACACGACACTCCTTGCGAAATGGCGTGTGTCCAGCTGCTACATGTTCCTGCCAGGAGACAGCTCTCATCTTGATCTGTTCGCCAAGGGTGCATGTCTGCAAGCCAATTGCCATAGCTCTCATCAGAAGTGCGGGCCAACGAGATAGCTTCCTTGAAGAAGAGAAGATTTCTTGCTTTGTCATACCTGCTATGTCTCTGCCTTGGCCCTTCCTTCCAGGCAATGGCACTGTAAGCTGAAGATTTCCTCCAATCACCGTTGGCTTGGTTGCACAAGCGCCAAACTCCGACTAGATCTCCCCCAACTTCTTCCATTGGGAAGTCCTCCACAATGACACCACTTCCGGCTTATCCTCCGGTGGTGCAGGCTGCTCCAAGATGAGCGTGGTGGGTTGGTCTGTGCCATTTGCTCTGCGCACTGTTTCTGAGACAACAAAGAGGACCAAAAACCTCAACATCAAAACGTCATCTCCTTGAACTTGGCTCTTCTCAAGACTGGATAACCCCTCCAAGCCCCATTCTGCACCATTCCATCCTCGCAGTGGTCGAGGCATCACCTCCCCCGGAACCTCCATATGCCGCAACACCGATCCTACCCAGGCTTTGACCCAACCATCCAACGCTGCTCTGAGAAGCAATGGGTAGGCATCGCCAGCTGGCGAGAGATCACTGGACTTCTTTTCATGCAGCACGTCCAGTTCACAAAGAAGTCTGCGATCACCTCCCACCTCATGAAAAGCTCTGCTCAAGGTGTATCGATCATCTTGTCCTGAGAAAAGGTGGACCAACATTCCCTTTGATCTCCAAAGCTTCCGCCTTCTTCGATTTCCCAGTGGAATCACATCACCTGCTGGTCCCTAGTTGGGACTTGATCTCATCTGGCACGCCTTGGAATGCTGGATGCTCTTCCACCAGTCTCCGAAGCCACATTGCCTCCGAGCTTGTGTCCATTTTCAAAATCTTTGCCATGTGCTTGGCCTTGCTTTCGATCTGCTGGATCAACTTCATCGCCACCTCTTGCAAAACAACTGGGCATCCATCCTCCACCGTCACCTCCAGCCTTCCCCACTGAGGATGAAGAACTTCTAGGCCTTGTGTGCCCCATGAAATCTCGCAACCCAGCACCGTGGTCAAAAGGCCCATTGGGACAATTGGCTCCGTGCCCTCATCCCCAATGATAACTCCAGTAGGAGAAAGCGCCATGTAGACCTCCTTGTCTCCGGCCAACGTCGCCTTCACCTTCCTGCAGCACGCTCATCAGCTGCCAGCCGCGTTCCTGCAGCACGCTCATCAGCCGCCAGCCGCGTTCCTGCAGCACGCTCATCAGCCGCCACAGCTGCGTCATCCGCCAGCCGCTCCTCAGCAGCGCTCTCACCAGCCGCAGGCACTTGCTGCCCAGCGCTAGGCATCGAACCCGCAGGGCCATCACGGCGTCTACGAATGAGATCAGACATTTGGTGTTCAACAGAAGCACCACTCTTTCTTGTGGGTTTTGGGCTCATGACCTATGTTTCCCCAACTGAAAACCAAACAGCAACCGTCCTGGAACCTTACCACCTGGAACCAACCACGGCCATCCTGTTTCAACCAACCGCAACAGAAAGGGATTTCCCAACTTGACCACCGGTTTCTGCTGACCGGCCGCCGCTGAACCTTTTCGCAGTTGATCATCAAAGGGCTTCGGACGGCCTTCGAATGTCGATTGATCCGCTTCAGGATCCTTGCAATGGCATCTGCAAATTGGAAAAAGATCTAAAGGGGTTAAATGGATGCATGTAGTAGTTGTCACACGCACAAACAATATGTCTGTTCTTGACTTGTAGGGGAAACAAGGATCTTATTTTCCTTCTTTCCCGAAACATGGAGTAACTCAAACAATATGTCTATTGTTTCTTTGATTTTTTTGTATTGGGGGAATAAGGATCTGATTTCCCTTCTTTCATTTTCCGAAGCATCGAGTAGTTCAAATCATATGTGATCTGATTTCCCTGCTTTCATTTCCAGACACAGGGAGTAGTTCAAATAATATGTGCTTTTTTCTTTTCTTCTCCAGGGAAATAAGGATCGTATTTTCCTTCTTTTCGGGGAAACATCCAGCAAATCAAATGATATCTGTTCGTTCTTGACCTATATTGAGGGAAATAAGGACCTCATTTCCCTTCTTTCATTTTCGGCAGCATCCAATATTGATTTGCATCAGGGGAAACAAGACTCGTATTTTCCTGTCTTCGTTTCCTGAGCCATGGAATCGTTAAAAAAAAAATTCTTGCCTTATATTAGGAAATAGGCATCTTATTTCCCTGCTTTCATTTCCCGACACAGGGAGTAGTTCAAATAATCTGTGTTTTTTCTTGCATCAAGGGAAATAAGGATCTTATCTTCCTTCTTTTCGGGAAACATCCAGCAAATCAAATGATATCTGTTCGTTCTTGACCTATATTAAGGGAAATATATAAGGATCTCATTTCCCTTCCATTTCCCGAAACAGCGAGACGTGCACATATTATGTGGGTTCTCTCTGCTTGCATGAGGGGAAATAAGGAACTTATTTCCCTTCTTTCATTTTCGGCAACATCGAGTAGTTCAAATAACACGCATTTTTTCTTGATTTACATTTGAAGAAATAAAGGTCTTATTTTGATGCTTTCATTTCCCGAAGCATGGACTATATAGTTCAACTAATCATTATAAGTTTTTTCTTTACGTATATTAAAGGAAATAAGGGTCTTATTTTCCCTCTTTCCGGTAACATGGAGTAGTTCAAACAATATGTCTGTTCTTGACTTGTAGGGGAAACAAGGATCCTATTTTCCTTCTTTCCCGAAACATGGAGTAACTCAAACAATATGTCTATTGTTTCTTTGATTTTTTGTATTAGGGGAAATAAGGATCTGATTTCCCTTCTTTCATTTTCCGAAGCATCGGGTAGTTCGAATCATATAAGATTGTTTTTACTTATATTCGGGGAATGAGGATCGTTTTTCCCTTCTTTCATGTCCCGACACAGGGGGTAGTTCAAATAATATGTATTTTTTTCTTTTCTTTTCAAGGGAAATAAGGATCTCATTTTCCTTCTTTTCGGGAAACATCCAGCAAATCAAATGATATCTGTCCGTTCTTGACCTATATTAAGGGAAATATATAAGGATCTCATTTCCCTTCCATTTCCCGAAACAGCGAGACGTGCACATATTATGTGGGTTCTCTCTGCTTACATGAGAGGAAATAAGGACCTCATTTCCCTTCTTTCATTTTCGGCAGCATCCAATATTGATTTACATCAGGGGAAACAAGAATCGTATGTTCCTGTCTTTATTTCCTGAACCATGGAACCGTTCAAACAATATGTTTTTTTCTTGCCTTATATTAGGAGGCATCTTATTTCCTTGCGCCCATTTCCGACAAAGGGATTATTTGCGCCCATTTCCCGACACAGGGATTAGTTCAAATAATCTGTGTTTTTTTCTTGTGTCAAGGGAAATAAGGATCTTATCTTCCTTCTTTTCGGGAAACATCCAGCAAATCAAATGATATCGGTTCTTTCTTGACCTATATTCACAGTATCAGATATCATTCTTGTAAGGTGCAACAGGGGCGTATCTGACAGCCAGACTGAATAAGAGAAAATTCTACAGTACCCGAATGCAGAGCACCAAACCAGAGATTGACCTATATTAAGGGAAATAAAGATCATATTTCCCTTCCATTTCCCGAAACATCGCGTAGTGCACATATTATATGGTTTCTCTCTGCTTGCATGAGGGGAAATAAGGAACTTATTTCCCTTCTTTCATTTTCGGCAACATCGAGTAGTTCAAATAATATGCGTTTTCCTGATTTACATTTGAAGAAATAGAGGTTTTATTTTCCTGCTTTCATTTCCCGAAACATGGAATATATAGTTCAACTAATCATTATAAGTTTTTTCTTTACGTATATTAAGGGAAATAAGGGTCTTATTTTCCCTCTTTCCCGTAACATGGAGCAATTCAAAACAATATGTCTTTTCTTGACTTATAGGGGAAATAAGGATCTTGCTTTCTTTCGTTGATTCCCCGAAACATCGATTAGGTCAAATCATGCGTTTTTTTCCTTTTACTAAGGGAAGCAAGGGTCTCATTTCCCTGCTTTGAATTTGCCGAAATATCCAGTAGATGAAAAAAATGTGTGACTTGTATACCTTTCCGACACTCAAACCGGAATGCCAAACGAAGAGTATCTGGGCGCGGGTTTGATCGCACTCAAATTTGCACATGTATCATGTTGTAAATACATATACATACATACATACATACATACATACATAGATATATATATATATGTATGTATGTATGTATACGTATGTGTATGTATGTATGTATACGTATGTGTATGTATGTGTATGTATGCGTATGTATGTGTATGTATGTGCATGTATGCGTTGTGTACGTATGTGTATGTACGTGTATGTATGCATGCATGCATGTATGTATGCAAGAATATATCTGCATACAAACCAAATATTTAGATACATTTACATGTCCTAACAGACAAGCCTTAATATTAAACACATATGACAATTAACTCATAGGGAAATATGTATATATAAATGTAAAAATAGATATATATTTGATATATACATATATTTCAAATATATATATGATATCAATAAAATATGTTACATGACAAAATATATGTACATATCAAAAAGAAAATAGAATATAAGCATTATATATAATATATAAATGTGATATATAAAATATAAGATTATACACCATATATTTGATGAAAAAAACATATATATTAAATGGTATGTCATGAATGAAAAATGAAATATCAACTATTTTGTGTTTTTGACAATATTTCAAATTTAAAAAGGATATATAATATTAAAAAAATGAAACGTATTCTGTATTACAGATGATAAATTACATATTACATTTTACATGTTACATATTACATATCACATATTTCATATGTAGTAAAAAAATACAAAGTATATGTATTATACATTACATATTATATAAATATTGCAAAATGTATTATATATTATACCTTTTATATTTCAAAAAATATGTAAATATATCTATATATATATGATTTCAAATTTTAAATCATATATGCTATTTTGTCATTATATATCAAATATGTTTTTTGTATATTATATATTATATATTACTGATGCAAAGTTATAAATGAGTTTTACTAGTATATATATTTTTATCTTATTATATATTAAAATATCTTTATTTTAAATGATGTATTGAATATTGCTTATTTCGTATTTCATTTGTACACAGATTTAGGTGTATGTGCACATGCTTAAAACATATGAAATATGTATATCTATGTTTGCTAGTGTATACTGGACACGTATTTCTTTATCTATCTATATATATATATTAACAATTTTGTCTATTAGCAATTGTCCATATGCACATATGCAAATATAAATATACATATATACATGTGCGTATGAGCATATGTATATATATATACACATACTTTATATATATATGCCTAAGTATGTATATATATATATATGCGCGTAAAATATAAATATAAATATCTATATATGCGTAAAGTTGTGTAAATATACATATTCGTATATGTATGCATATATATATATGTACACATATACACATGTACACATACATGTATACGCAAAACTCCGTATATACATATATAAATATAGTTCTACCTCTCTATTTCCTACTGCCATCTGTCAAAACTGCCGGCGACAGTGGTGCTGACATATATATATATATACATAACTCTGTATATATAATAGGATTAAATATGTATGTTGTATTTGGCTGTATTTGGGATTCAAGCATAACATGTGTTTGCTTGGAGACATGTTTTCGCTTTTTGACTGTTGTTTTTTGCTGGACGCGTCTTTCTCGGAGCAAGTGTTCTTCCATTGTAAAGGCAAAGAACAGTTTGAGAAAGAAAAACTAAAGTCGAACAAGTCACAGGAAAATTCGAAAAGTAGAAAGTTGAAAAGTGAAAAGGCTTCATTGTCATTGTCAATGTCGAAAAGTCGAGAAGTCCAAAAGTCAAAGAGTGTGGAACGGTGCCATTTTCAATTTCGAAAAGTCGAAACGTCGAAACGTCGTAAAGTTGAAAAGAAAAAAGGTTTCGTTTTGAGTTTCGAAAAATCGAAAAATCGAAAAGTCAAAAAGTATACACAGGGCGCCCGCAGCTTGGGTATGACTCTTGGTGCTGACGCTGACGACGCATTGCGGCGACAGATTGGCGATGACCCGGCACCCTGACGACGCATTGTGACGACACATTCCCTGACGACACATTGCCCTCTGACGACGCATTACCCCCTGACGACGCATCGCATTACCCTCTGACGACGCATTGTGACGACACATTCCATCACGACGCATTGCCCCTTGACGAGGCACTACCCCCTGACAACCCCTGACAACGCATTGTGACGACACATTCCCTGACGCATTGACCCTGACGACGCATTACTCCTGGACGACGCGTTGTGACGACGCTTTGTGACGACACATTCCCTGACGGCGCATTGTGTCGACACATTCCCTGACGATGCATTGCCCCCTGACGACGCCCCCTGACGGCGCATTGTGACGACACATTCCCTGACGACGCATTGCCCCCTGACGACGCCCCCTGACGACGCATTGTGACGACTCATTCCCTGACGACGCATTGCCCCCTGACGATGCATTACCCCCGGACGACGCCTTGTGACGACGCATTGTGACGACACATTCCCTGACGACGCATTGCCCCCTGACGACTCTATACGCCCTGAACGACGCATTGTGACGACACATTCCCTGACGACGCATTGCCCCGACGACGCCCCCTGACGACGCATTGTGACGACACATTCCCTGACGACGCATTGCCCCCTGACGACTCTATACCCCCTGAACGACGCATTGTGACAAATACATTCCCTGCAGACGCATTGCCCCCTGACGACGCATTACCCCTGACGACGCATTGTGTATTGCCTGACGAGCAAGGCGCAGGCGTACTGTAGTCTTAGTATGTGGGAAGATCAATAGAGGAATGTAGAGAGGAAGAGGAGCCGGAGGGCAGACAGGGATTTGGTCTGATCACCAAGGCTAGGTTATGTAGAAATAAAAGTTGTAGAGGTAGTGCAAGGGGTTGTTGCAAATTATCAAGATCATGTGGCGCGTTTTTGCAACCTCTGTTGAAAGTCCGTGGGGCAAGGATCAATCATTAAGTCGAAGTAGAACCTTCGTAGCTTCTTACCAAACCCAAACGAAGAGAGTGCCGGAGTGTTCCAGGAGAAAGCTCAGGAACTTCAATGAAAAAAGTTAAGACTGTAGCGTTCAGAACATGCAAAAGCGCAACATCAAGAGCGTGTTGGAAGTTCCAAGGCTAAAATCATAGCACCAAGAGAACGCTGGCAGTTCCAAGAGGAAGTCAAGACCGTAGCACCAAGAGGGTGCTGGAAGTCCCAAGAGAAACCTATAAGCGAGTAATACCAAGAGAGCGTGCTGAAGGACCAAGAAAAACCTAGGAGTCTAGCATCCAGAACGTGTTGGATGTTTGACTCACACTCCTTGAACGTGAAAATCGATAGCGGAAACTCGATTTCAGGTCTTCAAACAGTTCCGACGCAAACACAACCTGCTTGTTTCAAATGTTTCCGTGGACAAAAGTCGCAAAATAAGTGACGTCCAAAAGGTTTGGTTTAAGGATGTTTAAGGTGTAAAAATCCCTAGGCCTACAAACCCTGAATTAATTAGTTCCATCAAGATAGGTCATTAAATCCCAAAACAGGAATGGTTTTCTTCCATCAACTGCCATCCCTCAACAACGGCTTTCAGCCTCACGCACACCTCTAGACTCTAGGGTAAAATGCCGCAGGAGAAGGCCAAGAGCGTAGCATCAAAAGAATTTCCAAAATCTCAAAGAGCAAACCCGGAGGCTATAGCATCCAGAGCATTTTGTTCGTTACTCTTCCCTTTCGTTTTGTCTCCCCTTCTGTTCCCTACGACGCTCCTTTCGTTTTAACTTCTGCTCCGTTCGCTACTTCCTCCCCATTGTTTCATATTATTTTTTCACCTCTTCCTTTCATTTAAAGGCGTTCATTTCGTTAGGTCCGTCTTTTCGATCAAATCTTCTGTCATGTTCTTCCTGCTCTTCCTTTCCTTTCAACTCGTCCATTTCATTGCGTCCGTCTTTTCGTTGCAACTCTTCCCTTCCATCCGTTACTTCCTTCCTTTCGTTTCAACCCCTGGGGATCCAAAGTATGGATTATTTGCATGCATTGGGGTATGCACGCTCTCAGAGCGTCAGACCATGCTATTTGCGGTCTGACCATGATGTTTGCATGCATTTCCGATAAATTCCGACAATTGGGAATATGACCTTATCACGGTTTGTCACGGTCTGTCACGGTATTTTCCGACAATGCCCAAGATTTGAGTATAGTTTTTTGTCTTCTATCACGGTTCGTCACGGTTTGTCACGGTTTGTCGCGCAAGTGCTAAGCAATTTGAAGCCAATATGAACATTTTTCCGATAAAATACAATCTCCGACTATCACATTTCGACAATGCATGCGCTATTTGCAATCATCAGAAATGACTTCATTATTTGCATGCGATTTGGCCCAGTTACGCGCATGGATTCTCAAGGAACTCTTTGTAATCCTGTTCGCTACTTCTTCCCTTTCGTTTCAACTCTTCCCTTCTGTTCCCTATACATCCTATGCGTCGTTCCTTCCGTTTTAAACCGTTTTAACTCTTCCCTTCCGTTCGTTACTTCCTAACCATCGTTTCAACGCTTCCATCCTGTTCATTTACCTCTTCCTTTCATGTCAATGCGTTCATTTCGCTATGTCCTTCCTTTTTTATGTCTTACATCCGGTTCGCTTACCATCGTTTACCTCTTCCTTTTTTCCAAGTCATTTATTTCGTTACCTCCTTCCTTTTTCAACTCTTACATCCGGTTCGTTTACCTCCCCTTTTCGTTTCGAGCCCTTCATTTCGTTATACTTCTTTCCTTGAGCTTACTTTAGTTTCTAATCTTACGTCCGCTTCGTTTACCTCCTCCTTTCCTTTCACTTTCGTTGCAACTCTTTTGAATCCGGTTCGTTACTTACCTTCCCTTTCGTTTCAACTCTTCGCTTCTGTTCCCTATACCTCGTTCCTTTTGTTTTAAACTCTTCTCTTCCCTTCGTTACTTCCTTCCCATCGTTTCAACGCTTCCATCCTGTTCATTTACCTCTTCCTTTCATTCCACGGCGTTCATTTCGTTACTTCCATTCCTTTCGTTTCAATGTTTCCAACCCGTTCGTTTATACCTCTTCCTTTCGCTTCAAGCCGTTCATTTCGTTACCTCCTTTCTTTCGCTTCAACTCTTCTTTCCTGTTCGTCTTGCTCTTCGCCTTTCCTTTCAACTCGTCCAGTTCATTGCGTCCGTCCTTTCGTTTCAACTCCTCCCTTCCACTCGTTACTTCCTTCCTTATCCTTCCTTTCGTTTCATCTCTTTTTCATCCCGCTCGTTACTTCTTATCTTCTTCCCTTTCCTTTCAACTCTTCCGTTCCCTATACGGCGCGGCGTGCCTCTCGCTTCAGCTCTTCTCTTCCGTCCATTATACTTCCTCCCCATCGTTTCAACGCTTCCATCCTGTTCATTTAAACCTCTTCCCTCGGGGAATTCGTCTTCAGGGAGCAATTTGTCTTCGGGATTTTTTCTTCGCAATTGGTCTTCGGGGAAAAAAGTTGTCTTCGGGGCGCATTTCATCTTAGAACCTTTTTTCCTCACATCCAAGGGTTCAAACGTAATCAAGGGTCACATGTTCTACTAGTGGCGCTGATCTGTTCAATTAACATTGAGCCATTTCGAAAAAACCGTGAGTCAAAGAAGCTGAACTTGGCACTTGGCTTGAGAGTTACTTCCAATAGCGCTACTCTTGAATTTACTAGAGAAGAACCGCCATCCGGATTACTTACATTACGGATGCCAGAGCCCACAGTGGATCCCACAAACTATTGAAATCAGAGTAGGCCCATGATTTTGCGACAGAACATACCTGTGTTCTACCAGGTTAGATTTGCGATGGATCCTACTTTGTCCAAATACTTTTTGCGATGGATCCTACTTTGTCCAACATTACAGTAGTTTGCGATGGGACCTACCCAAATCCATCTCAGAGATGCTTGCCGGTCCAAATCAATGCTTAGGGATAAGTCTCACCCAAATCCATCTCTAAGTTGAATTTCAAAGGTCCCATCGCAAACTAATGTTGGACAAAGTAGGATCCATCGCAAAAAGTATTTGGACAAAGTAGGATCCATCGCAAATCTAACCTGGTAGAACACAGGTATGTTCTGTCGCAAAATCATGGGCCTACTCTGATTTCAATAGTTTGTGGGATCCACTGTGGGCTCTGGCATCCGTAATGTAAGTAATCCGGATGGCGGTTCTTCTCTAGTAAATTCAAGAGTAGCGCTATTGGAAGTAACTCTCAAGCCAAGTGCCAAGTTCAGCTTCTTTGACTCACGGTTTTTTCGAAATGGCTCAATGTTAATTGAACAGATCAGCGCCACTAGTAGAACATGTGACCCTTGATTACTTTTGAACCCTTGGATGTGAGGAAAAAATGTTTTAGGGAATTCGTCTTCGCAATATGTCTTCGGGGGAATTCGTCCTCGGGGCGCAATTCGTCGTCGCAATTCCTCTTTCGAGGAAGAATCGGTCTTCGGGAACCACAATTCATCTTCGAAGAAATCGTCTTCGCTATTCGTCTTCGGGGGGGGCAATTTGTCGTCTTCGGGGCGCAAGTCGTCTTCGGGGAATTCGTCTTCGCAATTCGTTTTCGGGGGAAGCACGTCTTCGGGTCGCAATTCGTCTTCGGGAATTCGTCTCCGCAGTTCGCCTTTGGGGGGGAATTGGTCTTCGGAGGGCAATTCGTCTTCGGGGAATTCGTCTTCACTATGCGTCTTAGGTCGGGGAATTCGTCTTCGCAATTCGTCGGGAGTTCGTTGTCGGGACGCATTCGGGACGCAATTCGTCTTCGGTGAGTTCGTCTTCGAAATTTGTCTTCGTGGGGGATTTCGTCTTGGGAACATATAATTCGTCTTCGGGGTTCGCAATTCGTCTTCGTGGGGGAATTCGTCTTCGGGACGTAATTCGTCTTCGGGGTTCGCAATTCGTCTTCGGGGGGAAATTCGTCTTCGGGGCGCAATTCGTCTTCGGGGAATTCGTCTTCGGAATTCGTCTTTGGGGTGGAATTCGTTTTCGGGGGGCAATTCGTCTTCGGGGCATTCGTCTTCGGAATTCGTCTTCGGGGGGGAGTTCGTCTTCGGGGCGCAATTCGTCTTCGGGGAATTCGTCTTCGGAAATCGTTTTTGTCTGCGGATGGAAAAGTGATATCCGCACAGCGGCCTCAATGTACTTTTTGACTTTTCACTTTTTGGCTTTTTGAAATTTGTCGGATGTTTTTCCAGTTGAACATGCGCAGCTCTTTTCTCCAGCTTAGGGAACGACGATGAAGAATGGAACGGGGCGCCTTATGTGGACAAACTAATTCAAAATGAGCACACAACATGTCACTTTAGCCGCCGTCATGAATTACCTGCCTCAGGCACTTCTTCGGCACTCCCTACACGTGCTAGGGGGAACCGAAAGGGGGGGGGCACTCTAGCGAAGATTTCCTTCGAAACCCCAAGACATGACTACGTGACTACAAGGCAGGTGCTAACGCACATTGACTCAGGTAGCTGACGCTACCCTTTGTGAAAGGTGCAATTCGTGCCTCCTATCAGCCTAGATACAAAGTGGTTTGCGCCGAAGAAAGCGTCAGGCTCTGGTTTCTCCTTGATGCAAACAGGTGTCATTTCATCCGCCTGTACAGTACCTACCGTTCCTTCTAAATGCACAATGTTGAGCAATTTGCATCTAAGTCACATAGACCTCTGCATGAAGCACCTGCCCCTGCTCAGACAAGAGGTTCAACCGGTGCTCATCATCAGGAAAATGGCGCTGTCCGAGTATCAGCAGCTCAGCAGCGAGAGGATCCTCGTTCAAGCCAAGGCCGCATCAATACAACAATGCACGATAATGTACATGCCAAGCCTACTTGGTTCTATCGGAACAAAGTGCCCAACCAAGTTGCAAGCACCATGTCCCGCAGAGATTCTGCAGTCTTGAAAACTGCCCGCAACTCTCCCCAAAGACAGCCTTAGAGGAGAAGCGGCCCTTAAGCGAGCCTTGGACACCGTAATGACATGTAATGGCTAACTCCCATGTCGCCCTGGCTCTTCACGGCCATATGTATGCTACAAGATGCTACAAGAATTCACAGAAGCTCTAGCAGGGAATTTACAAAAATGCACTAAGGTTTTTTGATAGCCAGGTCTCATAGGACTCGGGGAGCAGGGCAACTTGCTTCTGGCAGCGCCGCCTAAGCAGGGTAGCGCAAGCTCGGACGGCATAAATGAAGCGCCCATCCATACCAGGTCCAGTGTTTGTATTTCTTTGGGGCGCTGATTATGGTTTGTGCCAAGTACTCTATCTCCAAACGCATATCTCTCTCCATCCCCGTAGGGTCATCTTACGTTGGCCCGGCTAGCTAGCTCTACAAACATTCGTATGCACCATACCATACCATACCATACCATACCAATACATTGCAATGCATTGAACACATTACATTACAGCGAGTTACATTACATTACGTTGCGTTACATTACAATACCGCACCATACCAAACCATACCAGCATGCATACATACATACATACATTACATTACATTACATTACATTACATAAAATACATACATACATACTAACCTAACATACCAACCTAACATACTAACCTTACATACTAACCTTACATGCATACATACTAACCTAACATACTAACCTAACATACTAACCTTACGTACATACATACATACATACATACATACATACATACATACTAACCTAACATACATACATACATACATGCATGCATGCATGCATGCATGCATACATACATACATACTAACCTAACCTAACATACTAACCTAACATACTAACCTTACATACATACATACATACATACATACATACATACATACATACATACATACTATATAACCTAGCATACATACATACATACATACATACATACATACATACATACATACATACATACATACATACATACATACATACATTACATACATACATTACATACTTACATACATACATACATTTCAAACATAAATACATACATACATACATACATACATACATACATACTAACCTAACCTAACCTAACATGCTAACCTAACATACTAACCTAACATACTAACCTAACATACTAACCTAACATAACATTACATTACATTACATTCATTACATTCATTACATTACATTACGTTACATTACATTACATTACATTAAATATCCCCCTGTGAATTCCATGTGTAACTTGGGAGCCAAGCTTTGTAACCACAAATGTAGTATCAGGTATTTTTTAGCCTCTACAAAGTTGAAACAGGGGACCCATCATAGAATGTAAACCTTACAAAGCTCGAGACCCAGGTTGCTCTATGACAGGTGTTTTTTCACAACATAAGGCTTTACAAAGCTAGGATTCATTTATGTTGTTAAAAAGATGTCAAATTAGCACCAGGTCTTAAAGCTCAAAAACCCAAAAAAAAACTATTTTGTTTGAGCTTTGTAACGGACACGTGGTTTCACAACATTTGCAGATTTTGTCAAGTTATCCCTATCTCACCGCCATATCAATTTCATTCATAGTCATAATATATGTCATAATATCATATAATATCATAATATCTCATCATTTTTGATATCATTATATCATGTCAAATCATTGAGAATAATCTTATCTCACAGCAGAAAAAAACTGCAACGGGGACAGGCAGTTACAAAGTTCAAACCTGCAGAACAAGGCCACGTCTACACCTTACAAACCTCAACCTATCAAATTCTGCAGACAAAAACACGCCCCACTACAAATTTCAAACGGTGAAAATATGAAATTTCTTTGGGTTACAAAATTGAAACTGATTGAAAGTCAGAAGGGTCTGGCTCTGCAAAGATCATCAGGCTCAAAAACATCCCTCTACAAAGCTAGGGTTCATTTATGTTGAAAAAAAAAGGGTCAATTTAGCATCAATGTCAGAGCATGAGATCCAAGCTTTGTAGAGAAAAGTGCTTGTACAAAGCTTGCTTGTTTTGGGAGCCCGAGCTCCTGGCTTTGTAAGGGTTATTGCCAGGGGGATCATTAAATTACATTACATTACATACAATACCTACAACACATACACTACATACAATACATACCATACCATACCATGCCTTGCCTTGCCTTGCCTTACATTACATTACATTACATTGCATACATTACATACCTTGCAGGTAGAGGGCTCGTTTTGGAACACGAAAAGGGGCTCAATTTGGAACACGAGAAGGGGCTCAAACTAGAAGACGAAAAGGATTTGGAACACAAACATAAAAACTTGTCTGCGGCCGGCGGTTTTGTCTCTTCCGAAGGTTTACTTTTACCGGCGCGCAGTGCTTTATTTTTGACCTATGCCCATTTTTTGTGGCAAGCGTAGGGCTTCCGGGACATTTTGACTTCTGGTCTTTTCTTGTGACCAGTGCAGGACATCGGACGCATTTTCATCCGCGTGGCAGATGTGTTGCTTTCGGCACGATACTAAAACCTTGGCAGACATGGGTCCAACTGAGAGATGGTTTCGAAATAAAAGGTGCGGGGGGGGGGTCAAAAGTTGTAATCTTGATTTGGTTTTCTTGCTGCTGCTGTTTTTTTCCCCACAACTTTGTGTGGGGTTCTTGTTTTTGATTCTGTATCCCGGGCTCCTTCTCCTCCTCCTCCTCCCGCCTCCTTACACATACAACAATCACACACAAACTTAACATACAAAAACTTAACATACATTAACTTAACATACATTAACTTCACACACACACAAACTTAACATACATTAACTTAACATACATTAACTTCACACACACAAACTTAACATACAATAATTTCACACTAACTTCACACACACAAACTTAACATACAATAATTTCATACTAACTTCAACATACATTAACTTCACACACACAAACTTAACATACAATAATTTCACACTAACTTCACACACAATAATTTAACATACAATAATCCCACACTAACTTAACATACAATAATTTCACACACACAAACTTAACATACAATAATTTAACATACAATACTCTCACACTAACTTACACACAATAATTTCACACACACAAACTTAACACACAATAATTTAACATACAATAATCTCACACTAACTTACATACAATAATTTCACACACACAAACTTAACATACAATAAATTAACATACAATAATCTCACGCTAACTTCACACACACAAACTTCACATATAATAATGCGTGGCACTTGGTGACATCCACCTTCGTTTCACGTGGCAGGCGCGGCACAAACTCACATCTACCGTCGTTTTGCGTGGCAGGCGTGGCACTTATGGTACTGGGTGGCGCCCTTGGGCCGGGATTTGGCGCCTGTGACGCCCGGGGCGCCGCGCCACTTTGCGTGGCAGGCGTGGCACTTGGTGACATCCACCTTCGTTTCACGTGGCAGGCGTGGCACGACCTCACATCTACCGTCGTTTTGCGTGGCAGGCGTGGCACTTATGGTACTGGGTGGCGCCTTTGGGCCGGGATTTGGCGCCTGTGACGCCCGGGGCGCCGCGCCACTTTGCGTGGCAGGCGTGGCACAACCTGACATGCACCTTCGTTTCACGTGGCAGGCGTGGTACAAACTCACATCTACCGTCGTTTTGCGTGGCAGGCGTGGCACTTATGGTACCGGGTGGCGCCCTTGGGCCGGGATTTGGCGCCTGTGACGCCCGGGGCGCCGCGCCACTTTCCGTGGCCGGCGTGGCACAACCTGACATCCACCTTCGTTTCACGTGGCAGGCGTGGCACGACCTCACATCTACCGTCGTTTTGCGTGGCAGGCGTGGCACTTATGGTACTGGGTGGCGCCCTTGGGCCGGGATTTGGCGCCTGTGACGCCCGGGGTGCCGCGGCACTTTGCGTGGCAGGCGTGGCACTTGGTGACATCCACCTTCGTTTCACGTGGCAGGCGTGGCACAAACTCACATCTACTGTCGTTTTGCGTGGCAGGCGTGGCACTTATGGTACTGGGTGGCGCCCTTGGGCCGGGATTTGGCGCCTGTGACGCCCGGGGCGCCGCGCCACTTTGCGCGGCAGGCGTGGCACTTGGTGACATCCACCTTCCTTTCACGTGGCAGGCGTGGCACTTGGTGACATCTACCTTCGTTTCACATGGCAGGCGTGGCACAAACTCACATCTACCGTCGTTTTGCGTGGCAGGCGTGGCACTTATGGTACTGGGTGGCGCCCTTGGGCCGGGATTTATCGCCTGTGATGCCCAGGGCGCCGCGCCACTTTGCGTGGCAGGCGTGGCACTTGGTGACATCCACCTTGATATCACGTGGCAGGCGTGGCACAAACTCACATCTACCGTCGTTTTGCGTGGCAGGCGTGTGCTTATGGTACTGGTTGGCGCCCTTGGGCCCTTGTGCACGGAACCAGTAAGTCAGTAAGATTTCATTGGCTGCCCCACTCATGTTGTAACAAAATCGCACGCATGAAGCCTCTTTGTGTTTGCTACTAGCTCAGGTGCCCATCCAGTGAGCTTCTTGGACGGAGGACAGGCGCGTGTCGGATGGCCCGACAATGAGTCAAGCAGTCTATGTCCTCGGGAGCCAGAGCTTTGACCCAATGTGGGAAGAAGCGCGTGCAGATGCCTGGCGAACCGACACCTATGGTTGCTTGACATCTTTGGAAAAACCTGCACAGTTAGCGTCGTAACCATGGTGCTTGCCACAGTGACTGTATCGTGCCTTGACAGGCATGCGCTCTGCACTTGTCCTCCATAGTTGCATTGACAACCAGCTACATTCGTGTTCTACACTTCTGCGGCCAGGTACCGTTCCTCTATGTCATCATCGTCAACTTCATCTTTGACACGCAGCATCTTTCACACGCACCTTTGTCACACACATACAACTACATACATACATACGTACCCTCATACATACGTACCCTCATACATACGTACCCTCATACATACGTACCCTCATACATACATACATACATACATACATGCATACATACATACATACTCACATCCCTTAAAAAAATGACATGTTCTATGCCTCAAAAGTCAGAAGAAACAGAAGAAACAGAAGAAACACCACCAACTTGCAAAACCAATGGTCAAGTCACTATCTAGTGGAAGCTTTAATTGCAAAAACGTAGAAGCAACCAGACATAAACAAAACCCAACACTGAACAAACTCTAAAATCTCAAACCTTCCAAAACAAGCAAAACAAATCTGCAAACATGGAGTCACTTCAGATTGAGTAGGCTTTCTTTGCGCGCCAGGGCTGGCCCTCTGCTTGCGAGCCAAGCCCATGGAGCAGAGAAATACAGACAGCAATAGAGATGTCCTGTTTTCTTCCACGGAAGATAGCCAGAAAAAAGCACACATCACTTTCACACACACCATCTTTCACGCGCAACTTTGTCACACACATACACATACATACATTCATACATACATACGTACGTACGTACATACATACATACATATACATACATACGTACATGCATACTATCTTTTCACATACTTTCACACACACAGTCTTTCACCACCTCCTTTGTCTTTCCTTCCTTCCCCGTCCCCGCTAGAACTTTTGAAACTCATTATTGGAAGAAGTTGACTTGTGGGGTTATCCGGTCCTTTAATTTAAAGCTAGGGCCACACGGCAGGTGCAGTGTAGATTTTAAAGGCTGGAGGGGGGCATGGGGGGAGGGCTGAAGAGGGGCAATAGAGCCCTGGTAGGATCAGCTATCGTATAGCATCAAGCACTAGCTTTCCTCTGTCGGCCAATAGCCAGTCAGTGCCGACAGGCACAAATTCAAAAGCAATGAGTTGTGCACTACGCTTTGTCGTGCCCAATTGAGAGTAAGCGTTCTACCAGGTAAACTAAACTACACGTTGGCTAATCAGCAAAACTAGCGGAGTGCGCACTGGTGTCTATTCAAAATGACGGAGCGCGAACGAAATCATCGGCGACAAAAATGTCCTAAGGAAATGTCGAAATAAAAACTTGACGCCCGGGGGGGTGAACGAAAGCTAAAGGTCACATGAATGTGGAAATAAGTGAGCTGAACTTGGAATCATGCAGGGAAGTGGAAAGCATGCGCATGTCTCCGGAGCCTTTTTGGCGGCAGTGAGGTGAAACTGCGGCAGCGTGAAGTAAAACTGGAACAGCGGTGAAAAGAATTGGGGCGGAGCACGTGCGCTAGAAACGCGCGAGAAAGAAGAGAATACATATGTATAGAGAGAGACAGAGAGAGAGATAGAGAGAGAGAGAGAGATATATATATATAAACAAATAAGTACAGATGTAAATATATATACATATATATGAAGAAAGAATATACAGAAAGAAAATGAGAACACGATATCGATACAAAGAGATAGACATGCACATACAGGCACAGGAGCTGCACAATGGAGAGGTTCATATGCTGAAGGCAGTTGCATGCTGTGTTTGGTGACATCCGATGGAGGTATATTGAGCTGCAAACATACACGACATAAATGCAAGTGATCTAGGACTTTGCAGCCGGCACTGGTTACTGTAAAGTTGGGGCCCTATCCAGAAGTGTAATTTTTCCTCAACTGCTGACCCGAGTCACAAAGAATTCGACCGAGCCCACTGCCAAATTGTTAGAAGCTCTGGCGAGCTTGGAATGCCTGAGCCAAAGAAGATGGGTACGCGATAAAGTTTGGGCCCCATGCAAAATTCTAATTTTTGATGGGGCTCAAATCTACACAGCGTTGACCTGAGTCAGAAAGAACTCTTACTCTATCGGGCCCAATGCTCTGGTGAGGCATATTGCGCAAGAGAGTTACAGAGGGACGGCCCTGGCAGGATTTGAGCCCGTGACCATCTGCTTCCGAGACTGCTTCAAAATGCCCCGGGAGGTTAGGGGAGGAGGAGTGGGGGAGTTCGAGTGAAAATCTTTGTGTTGGACTCAGGCCTGCCCCGGAAAGATAGATAGATAGATATAGATATAGATATAGATATAGATATAGATAGATATAGATAGATATAGATAGATATAGATAGATAAAGATAGATATAGATAGATATAGATAGATAAAGATAGATATAGATAGATGAAGATAGAAAAAGGAAGAAATAGATAGATATAGATAGGTATAGATAGATATAGACAGATATAGATAGATATAGATAGATATAGATAGATATAGATAGATATAGATAGATATAGATAGATATAGATAGATAGAGATAGATAGATAGGTAGATAGGTAGATAGATAGACAGATAGATAGATAGATAGATACAGATGGATATAGATAGATACATATAGATAGAATTAGATAGATATAGATAGATAGAGATAGATATAGATAGATATAGATAGATATAGATAGATACAGATAGATATAGATAGATATAGGTATATATAGATAGTTTTAAGTAGATATAGATAGATATAGACAGATATAGACAGATATAGACGGATATAGATAGATAAAGATAAATTTAGATAGGTATAGATAGATATAGATAGATATAGGTAGATATAGATAGGTATAGATAGATATAGGTAGGTACAGATAGATAAAGATAGATAGAGATAGATAAAGATAGATAAAGATAGATAAAGATAGATAAAGATAGGTCAAGATAGGTCAAGGTAGAAAAAGATAGATAGAGATAGATAGAGATAGATAAAGATAGATAAAGATAGGTAAAGATAGAAAAAGATAGATGAAGATAGAGATAGATAAATGTAGATATAGGTAGATATAAATACATATAGATAGATATAGATAGATATAAATAGATATAGAAAGATAAAGATCGATAGAGATTGAGATAGATAGATAGATAGAGAGATAGATAGATAGATAGATAGATAGAGAGATAGATAGATAGATAGATAGACAGAAAGATAGGTAGATAGATAGATAGACAGATAGATAGATAGATAGGTAAATAGATAGATAAATAGATAGATAGGTAGATAGATAGATCAAAAAAAAATAGATGAAGATATAGATATTGATAGATAGAGAATGAAAGATCTAGATAGACAGATATAGATAGATATAGATAGGTAGATAGAGATAAAGATAGATAGATAGATAGATAGATAGATAGATAGGTAGATCGATCGATAGATAGGTAGATAGATAGATAGATAGGTAGATAGGTAGATAGGTAGATAGGTAGGTAGGTAGATAGGTAGATAGGTAGATAGGTAGATAGGTAGATAGATATAGCTAGGTATAGATATAGACAAAGATTTAGATATAGATAGAGATAAATAGGCATAGATAGATTTAGATAGATTTAGATAGATTTAGATAGATATAGATAGGTATAGATAGATATGCAGATAAAGATAGATAGAGAGTTAGATAGAGATTTAGAGGGAGATATACATATAGATAGATAGATAGATAGATAGATAGGTAGATAGATAGATAGATAGACAGATAGATAGATAGGTAGATAGGTAGATAGGTAATTACGTAGATAGATAGATAGATAGACAGATAGATAGATAGATAGGTAGATAGATAGATAGATACATAGATAGATAGATGCATAGATAGATGGATAGATAGATAGATAGACAGATAGATAGGTAGATAGATAGATAGATGGATAGATCGGTAGATAGATAGATGGATAGATCGGTAGATATATAGATGGAGGGTACATAGATAGATAGATAGATAGATAGCTAGCTAGCTAGCTAGATAGATAGACTGGTAGATAGATAGATCGATAGATAGATAGATAGATAGATAGGTCGATAGGTAGATAGATAGATAGATAGGTAGATAGATAGATAGATAGATTGACAGATAGATAGGTAGATAGATATGTAGATATAAATAGATATAAGTAGATATAAATTGATTTAAATAGATATAGAAAGATATAGAAAGATAAAAGGTAGATAGACTTAGAGATAGATAGGTAGATAGATAGATAGATAGCTAGCTAGCTAGCTAGATAGATAGACTGGTAGATAGATAGATCGATAGATAGATAGATAGGTAGATAGGTAGATAGGTAGATAGATATAGCTAGGTATAGATATAGACAAAGATTTAGATATAGATAGAGATAAATAGGCATAGACAGATATAGATAGATTTAGATAGATTTAGATAGATACAGATAGGTATAGATAGATATGCAGATAAAGATAGATAGAGAGTTAGATAGAGATTTAGAGGGAGATATACGTATAGATAGATAGATAGATAGATAGGTAGATAGGTAGATA